GGTTAATGAGATTAAATGATAAATTAGGCCAAAGAGTGTGTATTTGAGGTTTGTGCTAGATTAGATATATAGAGAGATATAGATGATATAGATACAGATACAGATATAGATATAGATATAGATAGATGATAGATAGATAGATAGATAGATTCATAGATAGATAGATAAATAGAAATCATCCCTTTGTAAATCACCCCTTGAACTTTTCCAGAATCTTGAGCTGTCGCTCAGAGGTTCTGGGGACGTTAGTGCTGCCAGGTACTTAACTGTTTGGCTTTACATAGTAAAGCTCATTGGTATTAAAGGAAAAAATTTGTACCCCTCTTCCTTCTTCCCCTTTGGGTTTTGTTGGGGTGAGGGGGAAGTGAATGTAAATCCATGAATTCTTTCATTTATTCATTGCACAAATAATTAACACATTTTCTGTGCCAGATCAGCCAAAATTCTTAACCCACTATCATTTTTGGTGGTTTCATGCTGCTCCCGTATGCTGTCAGTAAGACGCTCTTTCTCTCCCTCCTGCTGTCATTGACCCCTATCTTGAGTCACAGTGTCTTATTTTATAATTTGGAGCTACAGCTTAGACAGAGAGAATGGTCTTCTCCCTCTTTACCCAAATCTATAAGTTCTTTATAGGCTGCTGGTTCACAGCCCTCAAAACTCTCCCTCTACATTTAAAACAAGTTCTTTCCAGAACCTTGCTTCTTCCAAAGCCTCTCTGTGGTGGTTTTAAGATATGTCCCAAATTCTTTGATTTTTCTTCCTTTCAAGAGGTGAAGCCTAATTCTCCTCCTTGTGAGTGTGCATTGGACTTAGTGACTCACTTCTCACAAAAAGAATGAATCAGAAGTGATTGTATATGACGTCAGAGACCCAGTCATAAAAGGAAGAGTAGTTCCTTTGTGCTCTCTGGGGAAACCAGCTACCATGTGTGCGGACACTCAAGCAGCCTCTGGAGAGACCTGTGTAGTGATGAACTGAGGCCTCCTGCCCATAGCCATGCGAGTGTGCCATCTAAGAAGTGGATCCTCAGTCCCAGTCAAGCCTTCAGATTCCTGCAGCTGCTGGTGACATCCTGACTGCAAACTCATAAGAACCCCTGAGCCAGAACCACTCAGCTAAGGCATTCCTAAATTCATCGTGTACAGAAAATGTGAGATAAATGTTTGGAGTTTTAAGCCACTTAATTGTGGGGGAATTTGTTACTCAACAGTGGATAACTAATACACTCTCCAAGAGCCCTCTGTGACAATCACCTAAAGGCATTGCTCTTTAGGGGGCTTGAGCTTGGGCTCAGAGAAGCCCACCATGATGCTTAATCGATATAATTTGTGAAACATTTAAAGCATATACCGAGGCCTCAACCTCTGGAAATTCTTACTCAGTAGGTCTGGGATGGGGTCCAAGCATCTGTATTTAATTAAATGATTTAAAAATAAAAAAAAACTATTCAAGGGTTTCTGAAGACTACTTTGAGAACTTCTGCTGCTTTATTTGACCATAAAAAGCCACACGCCTCTCTATTCTGAGTCGTCTGTGTTGTTTCTTTGAGACTGATTTGGGGGAGGTCAGCTCACCTTCTACCATGTCCACCACAGCCATTGGGAACCCTGGCAAACAACCGTGGTCAGGGCTTTTTCTTATGAACCCATAGAGCAGCCTTTCTCAAACTTGAATTGCATCAGATTTACCTGGAGGGTAATTGTTGGGCCCTACCCCCAGAATTCTTTTTATTTTTTGTTTTTTTGCTGAGGAAGATTCGCCCTGAGCTAACATCTATTGCCAATCTTCCTATTTTTTTTGCTTGAGGAAGACTAGCCCTGAACTAACATCTGTGCCAGTCTTCCTCTATTTTGTATGTGGGTCACCACCACAGCATGGCTGATAAGTGGTTTAGGTCCACACCTGGGATCCAAACCCACGCACCCGGGCCACTGAAGCGCAACGTGCTGAACTTAACCACTGCACCACGGGGCCAGCCCCCAGAATTCCTAATTCAGTGGGTCCAGGGTGGAAACTGAGAGTTTGCATTTCTAATAAGTTCCCAGGTGCTGCTGCTGCTGCTGGTCTGTGGCCGCACTTTGAGAACCACCACTAAAAAGTATAGGACCTAGTGCTCAGGCTTGCCTCAGAATAGTCTAAGATCCTCCCTATACTGCAGGCAACAATGAAAACCAATGAAGACAAACAAAGAAAACCGCATCCATTTTGCCTGAGACAAAAGAAATCCATGGTGATAGAAATCCTAATAGTGGTTATTTTGGGGGATAGTAGCTGGAAAGGGAGCATGAAATGTTTCTAATATTCTGTTTCTTGGTCTGAGTGGTGGTTACACAAATGAGTTCCCTTTGCGAAAATATCTTTGAGCTCTACACTGCAATTTGTGCACTTTTCTATCTATGTGTTATACTTAAAAAGCTTACTTAAAAATTAATAATAATGATAAATGCTGTCAAAACTTGGGGGAAACAGGCCTCCTCTTCACTAGCCTGTATCTCTGTTTACAAGGTAGCTTTCCTCTGGGGGTATGCTGGCAACCCAACAAAGAAAATATTCTTTCCTTTTTGCTGGCATCATTTGTGTGTGTGTGTGTGTGTGTGTGTGTGTGTGTGATTCCTGGGAAGTGGCTGCCTCTCCAGCTATCATTTCTGTAAAAACAAAGCCAGGTCCTCAAAAGAAAACATTGTAAAAGAAATATTTGCATGTTTTAAATTCCTAGAGTAATAGATATTGATAGAACAATTTGAAAAGCAAGATGAGGCATTATTAATGCTTTTGGAGAATCCTAGTTTGTGTTAGACTATGCACCTTTACTGAAGAATAAGAACTTTGGGAGGGAAGGAAAATTCTTCTTAGATTTACTACCCATTCCTTTGAAAAGTGCCTAAGAGGCATGTGATTTTTTTATTCTGGCTTAGGACAAGTGTCACTTAAAGACTTCCCTGTTTCATCACAGAAAACCTTTGGTGTCTTAGTAAGAAACCTTGTTTTGCACATTTCTTACAAAAAAATGCTAATTATTACAAAACTCCCCTAGAGATATTCCACTTTCTAAATCATTCCTTTTCTATTGGTTAAGTCTATGGGTAAAAAGTTTTCTTCACTCTAAAAGGTTGGTTTCAAATGTAACTGAGGCCAGGTTGTGTTGGGACATTTGATTTTCAGGTGATCTGCAAAATCGTTATTTTGGACCTCAGGAGCTAAATAGGACACTCTTGGGCATATTTGTTGGTGATGAGGACGGGACTGCAGACAACTGGAGGAGACAATGGCCGCTCCCCTGTTGGATGTCACCAATCTATAGGAGAGACATTGTATACAGTATCCGTATTCATGGGCTTCTAAGCCTAATCAACATGCCATTGAATCCCAGTATTGCCAACTGTGTGGCCTTCGGTAAATTACTTCTTTCTCTCTCCCTCCAAACTTCAGTGTTTTTCTTCTGTTAGATGGGATTAATAATATCAGTTATAGGGATATTAGGAAAAATACATATATAAATAGTAAATATTCAATGAACGGTGGCATAATTATTAAGAGATGAAAAGAAATTAATAAATGGATCATTTTATTCAGTTTTGAATTTCCCAATCCCTATATCTTTCTAATGCAAACATGAATGAATAAATGGTATTTATTTGCGTGTAGACATGAGTAAATAAATAAAATATGTTTTTTTCTTTCTACAATAAAAATTTTTTGTCTAAAAATTACAGATGTGGAGAACAGGTGAATGGTTGCCAGAGATTTGGGGTGTGGTGGGGGGGCGCTGTGACTCTAAGGGGAGCTGGAAGGAGAACTTTGTGGTGATGGAATAGTTCTGTTCCCTGATTACGGTGGTACTTACACGAATCAACACCTGATAAAATGGCATAGAATTACGTACTTACATTGCACCAATGTTGGTGTCCTGGTTTTGATAATGTACTATAATTACATAAAATATAACCATGGGGGGACCTGGGGAAAGGGTTTATCAGACCTCTCTGTACTATTTTTACAATGCCATGTTAATCCACAAATAGTTCAAAATGACTTAAAAACAAAAAGTATCTGTCCAGAATTTCCCCCCTTTAGCACAATTATAGTATGCAGATCTCTCACTCTGTATCTGAGGTAATCCAGTTGGAGTCCTGGCATGAGCTGTGGTGTTTGACTTTAAATATAACACGCTTAATGCATCTATCTCCCCATTGTTACCCCTTCCTCGGCCAATTTACCCCTTCATTACACGTGTCTAAGGCTTATGTGATAGGTAAATGTGCCACAGACAGGAATCCTAAAGAATGCAAAGTTTGGCCACCTTTGATTCTAAAATATTCATAATTAACACTGAGCAGTAGGAGAAGCATGTGGCTAGATATTTCAATCTACTTCCTGCCAGCAGCGGCAAGGATGTGAGTATATTATTAAAATCCGCTGTGGATTGAGAGGTAAGGCAAATTAGTATCAGCTCAGAGTTTGGAAGTTTTTATATAATGCTACCGGGCCGGCCCTGTGGCTTAGCGGTTAAGTGCGCGAGGTCCGCTGCTGGCGGCCCGGGTTCGGATCCTGGGTGTGCACCGACGCACTGCTTGTCCGGCCATGCTGAGGCCGTGTCCCACATACAGCAACCAGAAGGAAGTGCAACTATGACATACAACTATCTACTGGAGCTTTGGGGGAGAAATAAATAAATAAATAAAATTATAATATGATGCTACTAATAAGCCAGTCAGCTGAATAATCGGAAAACCAGATGTCCTTAATTCAGGTGATTTGGTGGTCACCTACCTATGTCCCCCATATCTAGAGCAATGCCTGGGCACTTGATAAATATTTGTGGATGAATGAATGAGTGCACAAATGAATGAATAAATGATGGGACCGTTAAAGGAAACCACGCATAGCTGACAATGTCTAAAAGTAAGAGTAAAGAGTTAATTCACCTTTGTGGCCCAGGACTTGACAAAGCATGTCTGCCAGGGAACATTCTAACCCTTCTCTCTTTGCTTCTCTAGGCAGCTTGAAATCCACTCTCCAGATGCTAAGCACACGGTGATCCTCAGGAGCAAGGACTCAGCCACTGCCCAGGCCTGGTTCAGTGCCATCCATTCCAACGTTAGTGACCTGCTGCCCCGAGTGATTGCTGAGGTCAGAGAGCAGCTGGGGAAAACAGGCATTGCTGGGAGCCGAGAGGTCAGGCATCTTGGCTGGCTCGCAGAAAAGGTAAGGAAAATGCCTCTCCAGTAAATAGTTGCTTCCCCTGGAGTTTCCGTAGCGCTTGTTGCAACCACTGAAGTCTGTTCCCACATTCCATAGCCTGATTCTCTCATTTCACAGGCTGGTCTGATCTCTTGTCCATCTCCAACAGGTTGGCCTTTGCATTATACACAGGCTGTGTCTTAATCAACCTTGACCCCTCCATATATGTGGCAAAATGCAGGTGGTCACAGATGTGTGTTGAATGGACGAATGAATGAGTGAGCGATTGGGTGACTGATTTGATTCTCACATCTATGTGTGAAGGGCAGGGAGAATAAACTCACTACAGAGCTGTTGCCTTGGAGTAAGGAAGTTGAAATTGTTGATTAAAAAAGGTTTTTCTGGCTTTTGATGAACTGCTTGTTAATAACACAGATACATTTACAAATCAGAGCAATAATAATAACAGCAAGGATTTCTTCAGCAACTGCTATGTGCTGATTCCTTTCATATATTATATTTCATCTGTATTCTTAAAGCAGCAGGCCCTGCATGTCATCATTTATGAGCACCTATTTTGTGCTAGGCAGGAGTGGGGAGGGCTGTATAAAGGTGAATAAGACTTACTGTCTTTCCCCAGGGAAGACAGCTGCTGTTTAAAGGACCTGGGGTTGTGTTAACACTGTCACTCTGATTTCTTTTCCCAAGTTATGTGATATGTTGAAGATAGTAAAACTCACTTTGCAGCGATCTCCTGGGAGTTATCCCTTGTCTTCATTTCAAAGGATTGCACCTTAGCCATTGTCCTTACACCTGACTGCTGTCCCTTGAACTTGACCTTGAGTGCTCAGGAACACTGGGCTTTTGGGACAGGCTGACCTCCCAGTGACTCAGATTCTAATAGGCAGTACATGGGAAGAATGATTGTCACAATAACAGCTTTCCTGCCAGTGAACCGTGTCACCTGAGAAGGCCCAGTCAAATAGCACTTGAAAAGAACACTTGAACACAGCATTCGGCTCTTTTCCACCATTGTTCTTTGTTTACACCAGTTCATGCATGGGTCTCAGCCACCAAGTTCCACACAGAGTGGGTTGTTTGGTTTGGTATTGTCCCATCTGTCACAGATTTCAAAGGGCTAAAGGGACAAGCAGGTGGTGGTAGCACCAAGATCATAATAAACAAAAACCACAGGTAGCCTCTCACGGCCTTATTATGTGTTTTTGATGAAAACAACACTGCAAACCTGGATGATATCATTTTAGAATTCACAGTCTCTAATACTCCCTACTTTTTTACTGCTTCCAATTCTGTGTTTTTTTATTAGGAGAAGGGCTATTAGTCAGGGATCTTTCAATTGCAAGTGACAGAAAGCTCAACTCAGCTTGAGCAAAAAGGAGATGTCTGCTTCTGATAACTACAATGTCCAAGGGTAAGCTTCAGGCATGGTGGAATCCAGGGATTCAAATAATGATATTAGGCCTGCCTCTCCAACTCTTTCTGCCCTGCCCACTTCATTGGTTTACACTCAGGCAAGTCCCCTCTTCCTTGGCTTGATGGTTCCTGGTTGTATTTTTCCTTACAACTGGCTATCTCAGTGAATAGAGGCCTCTTTGCTCCCATAGTTCCAACAGAAGTCTTTGAGATTAAGCCTTGTTGGACTGACTTAGATCATATATTCAGCCCTCGGTTGGGGCTGAGATCAGCCTTATTCAAGCTATGTGCCCTGAGAGATAAGGAGAGGTTGTTCTCTAATGGAAAATTAGGCCGCTGTGCAAGGAAAAGACTGAATGGATTCTGGGGAGCAAAAGCAACAGACATTTGCTATAGAAGGAAGAGGGGAGGAGTTGATTGGGATGGAAGATGTCCTCGCTTGGTAGGGTCCTGAGTGGACTTAGAGATGTACTGTGTATCTCAGGGTCCTGGCAGGAGATGGATGGCCAACTCAAAAGGGATGATTGGAAAAGATTTAACGAGGCAATAATTTATGAGGTGTGGCCAAGGTCAGGGAAACTAGTAAGAGATGGAGAAGCACTCCAGAGCTAGCAACAGCGAGAGGCCACTACCATCCCTTAACCTGAAATGGCAAGGAAAAGGAGCAATTATCTGAAACTAGCAAGACTTGTAGCTGTAGAAAAGGGCCAGCCACTAAGAGCTGTGGTCTTTGGGAGAGAAACACAACCCCTGCCAACCCCTGCCCGCTGATCTGCTGGTGTCTCCCATTGGCTGAGGCTGACTGGAAGCCAGAGGCAAGGGAGCCCCATTGATGTACTCTGTTAAAGTCAGCCTCCTAGGGCACAGAGCAGGGTGGAAAAGAGTAGAGCCTGGATCTGGAGGCTGTCCAGCACACACGTCTCTCCACCTTCCAAGTAACTGAGATGGTCTCAACTCTGGAAGGTTCTTTTCTCTCATCTCTTTTAATACAAGCTACATTTAAAACCATTACCATTTGGATAGTTGAAAAATGGTATTGTGTCATTAGTGATATTGAAATTTTTCCCAAAGCTTTCATTTTCTCACTTATAAATTGTCTGTTTATGCCTTTTGCTTATCCCAAATTATCATAGACATATTATTAGGCATTCCCATGGAGCAGTAATAAAGACACCTAAAAAGCTCTTTCTGTTTTCAGAACATTACTGTTCTTTTGATGTAATTTCAGATAATCTTTACGGATGTTTCTTTAAATTGTATTATGCATTGTATCCATAAGAGCGATAATGACTTATCATGGACAATTATCAGAAGCAAGAATGTCTTTTATGGCCTTCATCTTCAAAACTTCTCAAAAGATTACCATAGATTAAGTCTAAAGGAACAAACCAAACTGGAATTTTTTTGAATAAATATTTAATACTGAATCCTAGTGTGGAGACATATGAATGGTTTTTAGCAAAATGTTACAATGAATGGCAAATCCTTAATACTGTGGCTTTCTTATATTATCACAAATATCAGCAAATTCGCTTGGTATTTGTAAAGATATAAAGTGTGATCCTATATATATTCAGCTGTAATTTACCTTAAATTGATGTCCTTTGTCTTTTCCTATACTGTTAATCTTTGATCTTTTGGATTAGTAACAGTAGCTCTGGGACAAGATTTGTACATATTATCTTAATTTCAAATTTGTGGAACTGACATTTGCATGAGCTAAAACAATATGAAACAACGACGACTTCCCTTTTAAAATCCTATTCAGTGCAAATCCCAAAACTTTTTCTACACTACACAGGAGGAAAACTTTATATTAATATTATTCTTTCCTGTGAAATGGTCTGGGAACTGGAAGAATGGCTCCCACCAAATGGCTAATTCTTGAGTCAATAGAGAGAGTTCAGTGCACTCCAAGAGAGGAAAATGAATATGAGTAAAAAGGTGGAGGTAATGGATTAATACAGCTTGTAGGGAGGATACACCACAGACTAGTCTAAAGGGAGGTGAAGGTTCATCCTGGAGGAAGGTGACAAGCAAATCTCATACCTTGGGTGCACCAGATCTTTTACAGAAGATCTTGAAAGCTAGACAGATGATTTGATTTGGTGAGCAGTAAGGAAGCTTCATGTACAAAATCAGAGAGAAGGGGACTTAGAGGTAATTGCTATGGACTGAATGTTTATGTCCCCCGAAATCCATATATTGAAGCTCGAGACCCTAATTTGGTGGTCTTTGGAGGTGGGCCCTTTGGGAGGTAATTAGGTTTAGATGAGGTCATGAGGGTGGAGCTCCCGTGATGGGATTGGTACGCTTAGAGGAGATGAAGAGACCAGAGCTCTCTCTCTCTCCATCATTGTGAGGATACAGCAAGAAGGTAGCTGTCTACAAGCTGGGAAGAGCACCCTCACCAGAACCCCATGTTGGCACCCTGATCTTGGACTTCCAGCCTCCAGAATAGTGAGAAATAAATGTTTTTTATTTAAGCCACCCAGTCTACGGTATTCTGTTATAGCAGCCTGAACTAAGATAGTGATCTAAATCAACCTTTTCTTTCTACAGATGAGGAATCTTGGACCCAGAGGATGGAAGGTGTTTTATCTAAAGTCACCCTCTAAATCAAGATAAAAGAATAATTAGAGAGTGGGTCAATGCTTGATATCATTAGTTCTTTTATTTAATTTATTAAAGAATCCACTGCAGCTCATCCACTGCAATCCATTTTATTCTTTCTTTGAACTCTAGTAGTCACTCTCTGGACTTTTTACAGTGTCAAGGTCAGCACTAGGCCAATAGCCTTTGAGCTGGGGCTGTTTTCCTTGTCTCCTTGACTTCCTGGTCCTGTGAACCACACCACAGTGACAGGTCCTGTACTGCTTGACCGTGTGAATGCCCTCACCTGTAGATGGCCAGGTGCACAATGTAAATTCTTTCCCATAATCATATTAGTCTCAAAACCTTTAACTCCTTGCAAGCCCTGGTCTGTCCCAAAAGGGCTCATGACTGCTAATCTCTCCCTGAATTGTAAAATCCATCATGTCCCCAAACCCATTTTTTCCATCATTGTTCTTTACTTAATCTTTTTACAGTTATCATTGAGGTGTTTTCAATGGTCCAATTTCAGACCAGAGAAACGCAAACTAAATTCTGACTGTCTTGCTACTTAGAAAAATGTTACTAAACACAGACATGACAGGGCTGTTTAATTCTGTTTTGTGTTCAGTTCATCGGCCATTACCTTTGCTTTACCTGGTTATCTCAGTTTGCAAACTATTTCTTGTCAGATTAAAAACACAAAGACAACACAACAAAGCAAAGCAAAAAAACTCAGTTGGGAGCCCTGAGATGTAAGTTCAATTCTCAGATTTCCTCGTTTCCACTTCAGATTCTTTCAAACAAGAGCGTTGATATACCTGTGCCTCCCCAGGGTGTTATTGGCAGAAAGTTGGTAATTAATATTTATTATGTGTCTCGTCTGTCTCAGGCAATATACTTTAAATAATCCCTATCCTATGAGGCAAGCTTGGAGAAGCTGAGTAACAGATTTTCTAAGATCACTCCTCTAGTAAGTGGCAGAGCCAGAATTTGAA